AAACTCAAAAAAAAAATACAAAAAAAAAATAAATAAATAAAAAATAAATGAGTCCACTGGCTGATTTGGCATAGTTAGGGATGTGGATAACGGGAAGGCCTAGCCTGGGTGTGAGTGCTACCCTCCCTAGAACATGTAGCTTGGATAGACTATAAGGGACATAAAGAGGGCTTCTGTCATTTCTGATCACTTGCTGCCTTCATGCAGCTTTGCTGCTTTCTTGCCTTCTGCCTGCCATGAACTATTTCTCCTCTGCAATGCCTCTCTGCCATGTCATCTTGCCTTGGAGCGAGCCAACTATAAACTGAAACCTCTACAAAATGTAAATCAAAATAAATCATTTCACAAATACCTCAGCAGATTAAAGCGCCTGCAAGCAGGAGCAGGGGCCAGAGGTTCGATCTCCTGGTCTGCCATGCCAGCCCCATCCCCCGGGCACGCTGAGACAGCAGACTGGGCATGGTGATGCGTGCCTGTAATCCCAGCTCTTGGGAGGCTGTAAACAGGTGGATCACTATGAGTCCGATCTAGTAGTGAGACCCTGAACACCCTATAGACCCTTCCCTAAAAATACAAATAAATAAATAAATAAAAATAAATCATTCCTTCTTATAATTCAAGTATGGGGTATTTTGTCTCAGCAGCAGAAAGTAACTAAGACATTAGGCTAATTATTATTAAGGAAATAATCCTAATCAAATAAATTTCTTTTGGTGTCATGTCTACATGAACTCTAGAGAAACCAATAGTGGCAAACCTATTGCACAGGTGCTATTTGCTTTCCTTTGAAGAATGTAAGAGTTACTTTTTGTAAACTAAAATCTCAGTATTCAAGTTTAATTTCAATGTTGGCACTTGTGATAAGTATGTAAGTTTTGGGTTGCAGTTTGGGCATTAGTCTCTAAAATGTTCACCATAACTACTCTAGACTATAAATTTAAGCTACAATTAGGATCCTACTTTATGGTTTTCTAGTTTCTTAAAAATTATGTGCAGGTGCCTACAAGTCCCATGTCATACAATGTCTGTAGCTTGCACAATATTTCTATAGTGTCAAATGCAACACCACCTCAGGCAAACTCCACCACTATGCTGTAAAAGCACTTGAAATGTACTTCAATTCTCTGCAAAGCAAATTAATAAACAGATACTGGAGTACTGGCCTTGATAGTCATAACTCAAACATTCAAAGCTAAGATATTAGTGATAATATGTGGGTAATTCTTTCTATAGTTCAAGAATAGAGCCCCAGTTTATATCTTTAAGCAAACTATAAAATATAATTTCTAAGCCAAGCATGGTAGCACACAGCTATAATCCTAGATACCTGGGAGGCTAGAGCAAGAGAACTGTTATGTTTGAGGCCAGCTGGGAAATTAAGCAAGATGCCACCTCAAAATAAAATTTAAGGGTCCAGGGAGATGGCTCAGTAGAATAAGTGCTTGCTTGGCAAGCGCAAAGACCTAAGTTAAAGCCCCGGTTCTGCCAAAAAAATAAAAAAAAAATAAACAAATAAAATAAAATTTAAAAGAGCTAGAGAGATAGCTCAGTGGTAGAGTGCTTCCTTGAGGCCCTGAGTTCAATCCTCAAAATAAATAAAGAAAAAATATACTTTTGAGAAGAAAAAAAAAACTATGAATTTAAGTGAGTTTTTTCCTAAATCTAAGTGTAATGGAGCTAATAAAGATTACCTACATCGGAGATACCTCAGTGGTAGAGTGCTTCCTTGAGGCCTTGAGTTCAATCCTCAAAATAAAAAAAGAAAAAATATACTTTTGGCAAGAAAAAAAAAAAAAAAAACCACGAATTTAAGTGAGTTTTTTCCTAAATCTAAGTGTGGTGGAGCTAGTAAAGATTACCTACATCAGGTTCTCCATTCTTTTCTAGGTATGTGGAAGTATGAGAAAATTATATGTCCTAGAACTTTACAATTAGGGAGGATCATGTGACTTGGTTTAGCCTACAAAATATTAAGTGGTGGCCAGTCACATATGTCTATTGCTTTATTAAGCTTTGTAGTATCTATAGCCTTATTTATTAATTTGCTTTGCAGAGAACTGAAACACTTTTCAAGTGCTTCTGTAATACTGCAATGGAGTTTGTCCTGAGAGAATATTACATTTGACATTTCATAGACATTGTATAAGATGGATTTGCATGGTGTTAAATCCAACATGCAAAAATGTTCCTAGTGGTAGACAAATGCTGTTTTTCCTGAAAAACACAACCTGAGATAGTGGCTTCATGAAATGAAAAGAGGCTGAATCATGAATCATGGGATAAAAAATAGCTTCCAGTAACCCAAGTTGATCTTTGGGTTAAGGGGAAATATATTTTTGCTGTATTTTGCCAGTGAGATTTAGAAGTTTGTTTCTATATCAAAGCATAGACTAACACAATAAATAAACTCAGGCACTTCATCTTTCTGTCTACACACTATGGACCAGTGACAACAAAGGTGAAAGAGGCAGGAAAAAATATGTACTGGTTGCAAAGTGCAATGTAAGAGTTAGAGAATGCTAGAAATCTCTGGAAAATGGAAAAGATAGTAAGACAGTAAATCTATTTTCTTTATAAAGGCTCAGATATAACATGTGGCATCTTTGTTTTCTGTGAGACATCTTTGTCTACTGACAAAAATATTTAAAGAGCAATTCTCACCTTCTTAGCTGAGCATTTTCACTTCTCAGTGGTTGCATGGCCAGTGCTATTTCAACTTGAATATCTGTGTTTCCACTTGCTGCTAAAAGTCCAGTTATACATGCTTCCACTTCAATTACCAACCTCTGAATTTCTGAATCTTCTATGAAAGGCAGAAGAAATGAGTAAAATCAGTATTGTCAATTGGTTTTGTACCAAGCTATTGGAACATACTACTAAACAAGAAAGTCTACAGATATTATATACTTGCTACAAATACATTCCATTTATTTGTAATTTTATTATATAAATCATATTTTTTTTCTTTCCTGCTACATGTATTTGCTTACTCAGAACATACAGTAAACTAATCGCTTCTCGGCCTTTTGGCTAAGAGCAAGTGTACTACATATAGTAAACTAAATATTAATTTTAAATCAAAGGATTACTATGTTAGTGTTTGCTTTTTGGTTGTGTCAGGTAGGTTCACACATTTCTCCTAGTTCATACTTACCAAAAGAATACTATAATGGACCAAATTGCTATAGGATTTCCTATCATTTGTTACAGTACTAACAGTTATAACACAGCTTCTGATCATGGCATAAAAGGTTTACTTCAGATGATTCATTTGGCAAAACACTGTGAGTAAGGGTCTGCTCAAATAGGGTTTCTTATTTGATTTTACAAAGTAGATTTAATACCATTTTGTTAATTGTGGAGAGTGGATATTTTTGGAGGAGGCAAACAGATACAGACAAAAGATAAGTAGAATTTCTGCCCTTTTATTTTTGTCTCTTCATGCCCATTTATATTTTCTGTAGACTGAAAATATTTAAAATTACATATTACTTGATATGAGATCAAAAGTATATGAAAATTTAAAATGTATTAAATTATACAAATATTTTAACACCCTAATGAAAAACATGTTCACATAGTGAGCAACTATATGCAACCACTGAGCAGTCTTCTGTCAATATTCTAGCTTTCTGTCCATCTTTGTCAGTCATGGGCTTTTGATAAGGAGATAAGATAACCAGGATACATCACTTTCTAGAGCTATAATGTTAGTCAAACCATCTGGTTCTTTTTGTATATAAATTAATCTTTAAAAAATTAAAGCATTTCCTTCAAAAACTCATATACTTAGCAAATATACATATACTTTGGAGCTGGAGCTGATTAACATGAGTATTACCTCACATGCTTATTTTTCAGAGAATGATGAAAAGTCTACCCTCTTAGAAAGTTTATTCGGTGAGATAGCTCAGTGGTGTAAAGTGTCTGCTTAGGCAAGCTTAGGCAAACACGCAGGGACCACGGTTTGATCCCCAGTACCACAAGCCATGCCAGGCCTGCCTCCAGGATGGGCTGAGTAGGCCACAAAAAAAAAGTCTGTAGACTGCAACCCATTATTAATTATTGCCATTATATTGTACAATAGAGCTCTTGAACTTCTTCCTTTGATCTGAAATTTTGAGCCTTCTGACTAGCATCAAAATTATTTAACTCTTGAAGTCTGCATTTCTTGATGGTTAAATGAAGATAATATTCTTAGCTCATTAAGCTACTGAGACTAAATGAGACCCCCTTTTTTTTTTTTTTTTTTCAGAACTAGGGAATGAACTTAGGCCGTTGCGCTTGCCAGAGAAGCGCTTATTCTACTGAGCCATCTCCCCGGCCCTAATGAGATACTTCTTTCCAAGCCTAAATTTCCTCATCTCTAAAATGAAAGCATCAAATAGTACCTCATATGATTGCTGTTAGGATTAAACAATTCATAGAAAATACAGTGGGTACATGGTAAGTATTCAAGAAGTGATGGCTACTATTGCTGCTGCTACTACTACTACTTTTTTACTGATATCTTCCCTACTACTATTATTGTCTTCATTAAATCTTTGGGAAGGAGAACAGTCATAATCCAAAGGTTTGAAGACACAGTGACTTTAATATACTAAACATGTAGTTTAATGGCACTGTATTCTTATAGCATTTTAGGATTTTTCTTGGTATGTGTTTATAAATGTATTTCATTAGTGCTTTCACAATCAATTACTGTTTTTCAAATTGGTAAATTTTTAACTCATTCCAAGTAAAAGTTATTATTTCAGAATATATACAATGAAGTAATATAACATTATTCACAGACATTTTCCTTGATTTAAGAGAAAAATCCTAAAAACCAACCAAAAATGGCACTAAACGGTTTGGGTTACTTCTCAAAATGAGATCTGTTAAACAGTAAGAGTAGATAGATACCTATTTTGTTTTATGGTGCTGGGGATAGAATCTAGGACCTTGTGAATATTAGGCAAGTGCTCTGCCATTGAGCCACACTCCCAGCCACACTTCTTCATGTGTGTGTTACTGGGAAATGAACCTAGGGTCTTTATACTGAGTTATATCCTTAGCCCTTTTTGAGATAGGGCCAGGTTAAGTGTCTGAGGCTGGGCTTCAACACGTGAGCTCTGTCTCAGCCTCTATGCAGCTTTATTCTAGTTTATTTTTTAAAAAGAGTATAATAATAATTGATAAGACAACAGAAACAGTACACATTTAGATGAACAAGATGAGAGGTATTCAACCATGGCTTTTGTATTGCACATTGCTGTCTGCTATGTAGTTGCTCAGATTACAGTTATTAGCATATAGAGTTCTACAACTTTTTTAAATAGGAAAAATAATCAGTCTCTTTTAAGGGGTCTTCTAACAATTCTAGTTATATCACTACAGATTCTCCGGACTGCATCTTCCCAGGACTGGTTAGACCAAGTAGACTGAATGCACACTTGCAATCAAAGACTGAATGCTTGGTGTTCCTCAATATATTCCACATTCAATGGAGGAAAGGAACCAAACCTAAAACGAAGAATACAACCAGCAGGCCTCATTACATCATCAGCTCAAAACACAGATCCACTGTAAACACCACCACCACCATCGCAGTTATTCTAAATGTGAATGACAGACAATACAACACTGCCACTTAGCATAACACCATGCTATGGGAAATTATAAAGAAAGTATTCATCTACCTTGTTCTACTACTAGGGCCTTGAGCTCTCTCAGCAAATATTTTATAGTTCTAACTTTTTCAGCAGCCTGGTTCACATTTTTTGCTTTCTGTACATCCTGGACTATTTCCGCATCTTGCACATGCACATTTAAACAGTTTCCTTCGTTTATGACCTCTGCAATTTGTTCTCTGGCACATCTTTCTTCACCAGAGGCCAAGAAAGCTGGCTGTAGCTGGGTTGGGCTCCTGTGTATTTTACTGTCTAGGAGAGTTTCTTTTTCAAGAGATTGAAACAAAGTCATACGTGTTTGAAGACACTTTAGTAAGTCTGCTTCCTTACAGACTCCTTGTTGTGGCAGAATCCAATTAGCAAGACTCAGCTCCTGAAATGTGGGAACAGCTGCTTTGTCAGTTTGGGGCAGGCCACATGAAACTCCAGGACTGGCACCGAATGAGCTCCTCGGAACATTAAGATCGTTCACAGACATTGCTTTACCTTGAGATGCAAACTGGTTACCACCATCGGTTTGAACTTCCTAAAGCAAGGGGAAAAAATAAACTAAATGCATAAGCACTCACTTGTAGGCATTAATTATAATAAACCGGAACCACAAATATTATAAAATAACTTTCTAATATTAGAAACTGACTGATATTTTCAGCCTCAAAGTAAGCAGAATTTCTCCTCTGTATAATAAAGATGGTAGTTTTTTAAAAACATAATTAGATCACTCTGCAAATGGCAACACTGCCTAAAATAGATTATTTACAAATACCACACATACTTTAAAGGCATCAAAAATAAGTCCACTCTGAACTGAAATATTTCCACTTTGAGAAACTGTACTATAAGAAAATCAGCTTAAGCATACAAAAAGCTTTTGCAAATACATACTTAAATGCTAATGAGTAAAAGCTGTTATTTAAATATCTAACCATAAAAGAGTACTTACACAGACTATGGTATACCCACAAAATATAGCATTAACTATTTCATCATAAAAGATATTATGATAAATATGCGTACAACATTTCAAGCACAAAAGCAGCATATAAAACTGTATAAAGGGCCAGGGAGATGACTCAGTAGAATAAATGCTGCCCTGGCAAGCGCAAGGGTCTGAGTTCAATCCCCAGTTCTGCAAACAAACAAACAAACAAAAAACCTTTATAAAATCTAATTGTAAGCTGGGTGTGGTGGCTCATGCCTATAAGCCCAGCATTCGGGAGGCAGAGGTGGGAGAATCTTAGTGAGTTCAAGACCAGCCTGGGCTACAAAGTAAGTTCAAGGTCAGCCTAAACAAGAGAGCAAAACCATGTCTCAAACACACACACACACACACACACACACACTAATTATACTTTTAAAAGAAAGCAAGCCTGGGGGAGATAGCTTTGGCAGTCTAAGCACCTGCCTGGCAAACACAAGGACCCAGGTTCAATCCCCAGTACTGCATGCCATGTCAGCCACTGAAACCTAGCATGGTGGTGCACACACCTGTAATCCCAACACTAGAGTCTGAGACAGGAGGATCACTATGAGTCAGAGCTACATAGTGAGACTCTTTTTTTTTTTTTAATGAGCAGAATATATTTATTGAGAGAAAGAAAGCTCCTGTCCCAAGAGAGGGACAGGAGGGGAGGCCTGAGTGGGTAGTTCCCCCGAGACTCTTTAACAGATAAATAAAAGACTTTTTTTAATTAAAAAAAAGAGGGCTGGGGAGATAGCTCAGTAGAATAAGTGCTTGCCTGGCAAGCGCAAGGGCCTGAGTTCAACCCCTAGTTCCACCAAAAAAAAAAAAAAAAAAAAAAAAAAAAAATTTAAAAAATGAGAGCAAACTTAACAAACAAAATGAAATCTAGACGCATAATTAAGTGACTGAAAACATGCTATATTAGTGCTTGGGAAGTGGGTATAAATGATTTTTTTTTATTGTATTGCTCGCTTCTTTTTCCCTATTGGTTAAAAAAATAGATTAAAAAAAAACCTTTTGGGGCCAGGGAGATGGCACAGTAGAATAAGCGCTTCCCTGGCAAGTGCAAGGGTCTGCGTTCAATCCCGGTTCCACCAAAAAATAAATAAATAAAATAAAAAAACCTTTTCTAATAAAAAGAAAAACTTAAAAAAAAATTGGTCTTATCTCCAAGTATACTGCTTCAATGAGTAAATTCAATATTTTCTCCAAAAATGACAATTTCTGTAAGTAAACTTGCATAACATACAAACTTTACCCACAGAATGAACCACTGGAGGGCAGGGTGGCCGCTGAGGTGACCAGACTGGGGTGGAGGTAGAGCCGGCATAATTCGAGTGTGGCGTAGTCTGAGATTCTAAAGGTAAGAGGGAGAAAAAAATCTTTCACATTTCATATTGCTTAGATAACAGCAAAGCACTTTAATTACAGCTTATATTCAAACTTTTAAAAATATCACTTATACTAACCAGAATCAGATACAGTATGGCAAGGTACAGAAGGAATCCCATTGGGGCCTTTCTTGGACGAAAAGTTATTCATCAATGACATCTGAGTCTGCACATGCTCACAGAGGGCTTGGTATATTATTGGTGAATACATTCTATAATGATCTTGTAATGACCAATTTTGTGCTGTGTCTGATGTGTCTCTTTCACTTCCAGCAGAAACTTCACTAGGTATTTGTTTCTTATTATCCAAAAATACTAATGTGGAAGAAGGAAAACAAGTTCTTGAAATACGATTCTTAAAAAAACTTTCAGCATAAGAGCTTAGAGGAAAAACTCTCAGAAATATAGTTTAATCATATACTTCATAGAAGGGCCTTATTGCTCTTACTCTCTAAATAAAATCACTCCAAATTCTTAAATGTAGTTAATGAGGTAAGTTTCCCCAGGCAAAATGCTATTTGTAAAAATCTCTTCTTCAATTATAACACCTGTCTTGGGATACTGTATTCTCCTTTGGGGTATTTATGTTCAATGAAGTCTTACCTGGCCCCTTGTCCACTTCATTCTCTCAGGGAAAAACAGAACAGGAAAGATAGACTATAAGTATTATGATGTTCTGACAGTTAAAAATAAAAGAGCTTTAAGATCAACCAGTAAAAAAACTTAATCTATAACTAGGGCTTTAAAACAGAAGTATCTGAACCTGGCATTTAAGTCAGTCTACTCTTCCAACTATCTTCTCCTCATCTTCAACACAAAATATTCATTCCAGCTGGCCAGTTTAGAAACCCAATAAGCCTTTCTCCCCTTCTTGTACCATGGCTTGTGCGTGATGAACCATTCCCATCTACTCCACCCTACCTATTTCCCAATGCTCATCTGAGCATTTCCCTCACTCATGAGCCTTTTCCATCCCAAACTGGTGCACTCTTCATCATCCTAGAGCACTTATTGTCTATTTAAATCATATGCCACTGATCTACTGCCTATGTGGTTCTATCTTTCATCCTCTTTTCTACCTGACTAAATTATAAGCTTCTCCAGGCAGACTGTATCCTATTTCTCTCACAAGTGTATGTATGAAGTAGAAACTAGTATTAGTAAATGAAAATACAAGTTTTTAAAACAGAACTACCCAGTAGATTTAAAAATCTAAATTCTATGTCCCCATCTAATAACATTCGCTCTCCAAATATTTGCTAAACATTATTAATAAAAATGAAAGCAGGGCCGCCCAAATAGCTCAGCAGATTAAAGCACCTGCAAGCAGATGCAGAGGTTGGGGGTTCGATCCCTGGGCCTGCCGTGCCAGCCCCGCACCCAGGGCGGGCTAAGACAGCAATTGAGACTGGGTGTGGTGGCGTGCACATGTAATCCCAACTCTTGGGAGGTTATCAACAGGCGGATCACTACACGTCTGATCTAGTAGTGAGACCCTGAGCATCCTGTACACCCTTGCCTAAAAAAAAAAAAAAAAAAAAACCAAACCCCCCCCCCCCAAAAAAAAACAGAAAGAAAGCATTCTGTTAAATCATAGGTTATCAGGGTACAAAACAAATTTAGAAAAATATATAGCAAGTAGTAATACTTACCTAAGCCAAACATACACCCACACATATTCTAGGGCACAATTCTACTCCCATGTATACACCTAACAAATGAGTGTTTATGCCTATTAAAAAATATATACAACAATAGTCACTAGTTGAGTAAACCTAAGTTTTCTTGACTTCCTCTAATTAGAAAATTTTTTTAAAATACTACATAAGATTATTGCAAGAAGTATACACATTTGTAAAGTTCTTAGATCAATGTATGGAACACAATAAAAATTCAGTAACACACTAAAATACTTGCAAACTCTTAAAGACAGACAAATATTTCATATTCTTAAGCCTTACTCTCTGATAATATCCCTCTGACTATGTTCTCTCAAAGGTGATTAAAGCCAAGAGCAATAATAGTTACCTTCACTACCTGAATGGATGAGCTGACAACAAAACTGGTTACAGTATTTCTGTAAGGCAAAATTCCCTATCGGACACACAATTTCATAACGCACACAGAAAAAACCTCTAAAATATTTCAACTCCAAAATCTAAAATAATGGAGAGCATAACCCATGGCTTCTGGTACACTGGACATCCTTTACTCCTGACTGTGCACTCTGCTGTCCTTGCGTTTCCTTTGGTCCATTGAGATAAGAACTATCTAGTCTCAGAAATTCTCAGGCCTCACTCTCAAAGGTCCCAGCCTTTGGCTTTTATCCACCTTCTTCACAAGGCAGTTTTAGTCTCCCATCAAGCTGAGCCACATACAATATTAGGCCTCTACCAGCAGATGTCCTCATCTGACACCAATTAATAACCTCCAAACATTTCTTGAAAGTCAAATCCTCTGACTGAAAACAACTTATTTTACTAACTTTTAAACTCAATTTGTATGAGACTCTGCTGACAATGCTGAAGATTTATACTAAAGGTAATCTTATAAAGCAAATAATCCAAGACAAATTGACAAACCATAAGTGAATATAAAAGAAAAAATTGCACTTATATTGCTATTACATAATTTAAAAAACTGACCAAAAAAAATTGGCCTGTTACTACACAAACATAAATGAAGTATATGCTGTTGCTCTTATTAATGACACCAAGGCACCCTCCATGAAAGTTTAACTGAAAGATCAAGATGACAATATGGTGTCAGGTGTGGTTAGAATTTATTAAAGGGATCATTTGTTTATTCAATCCATGGCAACCTTTCAATCCATAAATCCTACCTGCTATATGTAAGCACTGGCTGTTCTTTGCATGTATGGGCATGACAGGTAAGTCCTGCTACCCAAATACTGAATAAACATCTAGTGTAGGTAAGAGCCACTAACCCCTGTTATAATTTAAAATAGATAAGACCATCTGGTCTTGATAGGGACAATCAACGCTCAAAGAATTCTGCCTGTTGTGGTTTATTTCCCAAGGTGAGAGTAGCCATACATGTACATGGATTGCCTTCAACTCACCACGGCTTGATTTACTATTTTCTTAAAGCAGGGTCTCATTATGTTGCTCCAGCTGGTCTCAAAGTCTGGGATTCAATCAACCCTCCTGCATCGTCCTCCTGAGTGCTGGGATTACAGGTACCTGGCACTAAATCTGGATCAACTGAGTTTTTGACTTTACAGTGGTATAAAGCAGTAAGCCTTCACAGTTTGAATTTTTCTTTCCTGGACTACTGATTAAGCTGTATCACATTCTCTCATGATGCAGCTCCCAGGCAAGCCACACAACCATGAGGATAAACAGATCGTGTTGCTACTATAATGTTTGGTAGGTTACATATATTTTTTTAACTTTTGATGTTTTCCATTTCTGGTGGATTTGGGGGATCATTATACCCAGCATAAGTTGAAGATCATTCTTATGTTACTAAATCAAAATTAGGTAAACAATTAACAGTTATCAAATCTAAAAGCTGTACTTTTCAAAGGGGCACTGAGATTAATCTCAGGTCTTATGAATACTAAATAAAAACTGCGTATTGGTGCTGGCCTATAGCCCTTGGCTTAGGAGGCTGAGGCAGGAAGATCTTGAGTTCAAGGTCAGCCTGGACTACACAGACTCTCAGAAAATAAAACAAAACACTTAAGGTCATGAAAGACACCATTGCAGCTAGTGAAAAAGTAAGAAAAGATCTCTTTAAAACAACTAGGATGCAGGAAAAAATAATTCAGTACCTCCAAGACGATGCAAAGATGAACAATGTGAGACTAATAGGTATCAATGAGAAGGAAGGAGTCAATACAAATGATATAAAAAGAATATGGGCAGAAGTAATAGCAGAAAACTTCCCAAATATGGTGCAACAATCTGACATTCCTGTAACCGAAGCATATAGAACTCCAAATAATATCAATCCAATGAAAACCACACCCAGACATATAATAATCAAGATTCCAGAAATTCAGCATAGGAACAGTATACTAAAAGCCGCTAAAGAAAAGAAACAGATCACATTTAAAGGAAAACCCATCAGAATAACGGCAGATTTCTCTTCACAAACCATCAAGTCAAGAAGAGCATGGAGCAAAGTACTTCAAGTCTTGCAAGAAAACAAATTCCAACCCAGACTGATCTATCCTGCAAAACTATCTTTCAAATATAATGGAGAAGTGAAATATTTCCATGACAAAGAGCAACTAAAGAATTTCATGATGACAAAGCCAAGCCTACACAGACTACTAAATGATGTTCTAGAGAGGGGGCAAATTGATCACAGCCCCATGAATGAGAATGGAACGAACCCACCAAATAGGGCAAACAAACAGAGGAGATTAAGAGGTATACAGTAGTAGTCTTTCAGTTATTCTTTTGCATTCAGCAGCAGAATATTTCCATTAGCACACTGTACAAATGGACTTCTCTTCCACCCTATGGGTCATGATTCCACTTGAGTCTACAGGGTGGATTTTAAAGAAATAACTGTAGCTCACTTCCACAAGTGAGGCCTAGCCACCAGTAACTGTCATGGTCATTATGCATGTCCACAACACATTAGAACTTTGTGCGATATCCTATCCTCAAACTGTTAGAAGTACTGGTGATTTATTTGCCATTCCAGTATTTATCTTATGTTTTACTCTTAGTACTTCTTTGCTATCATGAAAACTTTTTCTTAGTTCAATTGTTTTGAATCATTTAATTTTCTGAATATTGCTTAATCTTAACTTTTGTTCTAAGATTTATACTGTATCTTTGACTTACAATTTATTTAAAAGACATTGTATGATATCTTCTTCTAGTATTAGAAACTTTAAAAAGTATATTTCCATTTTCTGTTGACTAAAAAAAAGAGGTTTGTACCTATGTTATTTGCTTATTATTTCTTGCCTATGTCTTGTAATATGAGAAACTACTTTGGCAATAACAACACACAATGTACTAACTATTGTTACTCTCCTAAAATCTTGTTTTGAGATTTTATACCACTGTTTTTATTGTTTTTTCTTTCTTTAAAATAAAAATAACTGATGTCAATAAAAAAAAAATAAATAAATAAAATAAAATAAAAAAAAAAAAAAAAAAAACACTTAAGGTCAGAAGCACCCACATAAGCTCAATACATTTATGACCTGCTTCTCTGCCTCTTTACTCACACCATGCATGAAGGTGGACTTCCTTGGCTCCACAGACATTCAAAAATCAGCTAGGTCTTAGTCAAAAGTACCTATGGAGGTTGTACCCCAGACAGTTGAAAAAATAAATAAATAACAGGATGGTGTGTGTGCTGAAATTAAAATTAAAAATAAGAAATATGCTGCAATTGATTCTGTACAGTCCTATGTATGATTAGCTCACTAGCAGAGAGAGGGAAAAGACAGTAAGTGCCTAGCATAACTTCTGCATTTTGCCAAGACAGATAACAGAGCAAAACCCTTGCACGGTTAATAGCAGTCAACACCCTCATAAACAAAGAAAGATGTTCTTCTCTAGATAATGCTAGTTTGGTAAACAGATAAACAAAATATATCTATTTGGCTGAACCAAGGGAAAGTGCCTTCTTCTAATGAGGCAACCTTATGGGTAAATAAGTCAGTGAGAACTCAATGCTATGTTCTAATTTCACAACCCTAAAGAACACTGTCCTAAGTGGGAAGAGCTTTTCCTTTGAAGATCAAGTATGGGGGAAGAACAGTAAGAATACTGTGTTCTGATCACAGGCCACAACTGCTGATCTTACTTGAGTTCAAATAAGGATTTAAGGCTAGGAACCAAGAACACCAGGCATCTCTCATCTGCCACAGCCATCCTCTACTGGTCTCTGCCCTGCTCTCCCAGGCATGCTGATCCTCCGTGCTCCTATATGTCTTCCTATGTCAAGAAAGTAAGGCTTTGAGGTGGTATTTATGTCAGCAACCTTGAGACATAAGGTAATGTTTTCCCCCTAAAGACTTGTTTACTGTTCACTAGCGATTCCCCACACTTAAGGTTCTTCAGCTGCTGCCTAAACTTAAAGCATATATAGCCTGTGTCGTGGACCATCACATCATCTCAGTGCAATCGAGGACCAGGCAGAACCAGTGAAATGTTCTGATGCATATGCTGCTTGCCTTGCTGTGAGGACTAAAGACCCATCTCTGACTCCAGAGTCCTGTGCTTCTGCCAGTATCCACAACACAGTAAGACTAACTTATTAGCTTGTAAGACTAAAAAGCAAATCCCAGACCTGATACACATCAGTAGGGCCAATGTTGGATTTAAGATGAGGCACATACAGGACAGTTTACAGTAAGGCCACCTTGGGCTGGCATTGTCCTTCTAAAGATGCTCTTTTCAAGGCAGCCTACTCTATAAAATACTTTGTGAGTCAGTAACCTCTCTCCTTCTTAATGCATTTATGGCCTAGAATTGATAACAACTCTGTGCTGAGGTTAGTACTACCTAGCACAATAGTTTATGGTTTTCCCTCTGAATTTTTTTTGTTTTGTTTTGTCTTTTAGAGACAGGGCTTTGCTATGCTGTTCAGGCTGGCCTTGAACTCACTCTGCAGTCCAGGCTGTCCTTGAACTCACAGCAATTCTCCTGCCTCAACCACTTTAGTGCTAGGATCATAGGCATGTACCACCATGCCTAGCTTGAATTATTTTGAGTATTATCAAGAAGTCAGAATATGACAAAGTGCTATCATGACACCACTGTTAGCCCTAGATAACCCAAATGAGCATTCCTAGTGGAAGGCTACCTTGAGACAAAAAAACAGGTGCTACCAATCCTTTCTTTGTTTCATTGGTCCCCTACAGAGAAGCTGCTGTGCAAAGTTAGGAATGTAAGGGGCCAGCGAGATAGCTCAGTAGAATAAGTGCTTGCCTGACAAGCACAAGAGCCTGAGTTCAATTCCCAGTTCTGTGCGCATCACCCCCCCTCAAAAATGTAGCACACAAGGCTGGGGAGATAGTTCAGTGGTCTAAGTGCCTGCCTGGGAAGTACAAGGTCCTGAGTTCAATTTCTGGCACTGCATGCCATTCCAGCCCCAGAACCCTGGGTACACCATGACAACTCGAAACCAGATGTGGTGGTGCACACCTGCAATTCCAGAGCTGGGGAGGCTGAGGCAGAAGGATCTCTACAAGTCCAAACTGTGAAGTGAGACCCTGTATCTAAAATTAAACACAACCATATTAAAATAAACAAATAAAAGAATATAGCACATATTTTCTTAAAAGGCCAGTTAGTCAATATTTAGGCTTGGTAGACCAGATAGAGTCTGACACAACTACTCAACTCTACCATGCAGCATGAAATCAGAAAATAAATAAATTAGAAGGGCTGTGTTCAGGGTTGGTGAGATAGCTCAGCAGACTAAGGCCTGCTTAGGTAAGTGCAGGGATGGGGGTTTTACCCCTGGTACCACATGCTGTGCCTATCCCACCCTTAGGTGTGTTGAGTTGGCCACCAAGATGGGCGTGGTGGCACACACCTGTAATCCCAGTGCTAGGGGGCGGGGGGGCTGAAAGGAGGATCACTATGAGTCCAAGCTGCTTAGTGAGAACCTGAAAGAAATATATGTATATTTAAAAAGAAGAAGGAGCCAAGGAGATGGCTCAGTGGAATAAGTGCTTCCCTGGCAAGCGCAAGGGTCTGAGTTCAATCACTGGTTCCGCAAAAAAAATGAGAAGGAGCAGGAGGGCTGTGTTCTAATAAAGCTTTACTTACAAAATAAGTATTATTTATAAAATAAAACTGGCCAGCTGGTTGTGGTGGTGCATTCCTATAGTCCCAGCATTCAGGAGGCTGAGGCAAGAGGATCACTGTAATGCCAGACTGGGCTACAAAGGCAGTTCAAGACCAGAATAAACTGCATAGTGAAACTCTGCCTCTAAAAGATTTAAAAAAAAAAAAAATGGCTTTAGCAAGCCGTCAGTCTGGTTTTGACTGATGTGGTCCAACAGAAATATGAGCAAGTTATAATACGACTTATAATTTCCAGTAGCCCCATTAAAAAGTGAAAAGGACAGGTAAACTTAACTTTTCATAATGTTTTGTTTAAATCAACTTAGCCAAAACATTATCATTTCAATTGTAATAAACAAAACTGAGCTATTTTTGTATCAAATCTAAATCCAGAGTATATTTTATAGAACATACATCTCAATTTAAAGACTGAGTTGTTATTACAAATAACATGATCTATAGTTAGATATAATAAAACACCTGAAAAGGTAAATGGACACAGTCTATGTTACTAGTTAAAAGTTTTATAATTGAATCAAGCCTTAACTTTCAAATATATTAAAATTAAGTGATATTACAGTCAGCTTTTTGGTTGCATCGTCTTTCAAGTGTTCAGTAACCACATGCTGCATATACTCTTGAACAATACAGGCCAACAAGGCTTTATAAGCCAAAATATTGGCCTCTAGGAGCGAAGGACTAAAGGAAGCTGTTTCTCTTTCCACTGTTCTCTTACTCAGGTCAATTGGAACCACAATGGCTACTCCTATAAATGCCCTACCATCATTTTCTCAGCCTCTCTGTCTGGTCTCCCGATTTGATCATTACACACTGCAGACATGTTGAAATATCACATGATACTCAATAAATATGTACAAGTTACATGTTCTTTAAACAATCACTATTGTGAACTTTTTAAACTCTATTTTGTTCTATAGGCCTTGGACAGACAACATATGCAAAATTTGTTTATTCTGCACTTCTGAGTTACTATACTTAAGTCAGCAAAGATAACACCAAGAGAGTAAAATATCTGGGGCTGTATTCACAGGCAGTCACTGGCAATCTGTCATTCCTTTTCTATCCAATGTGAATTTTACCTTCTTCTGTACCATATAAACTAATTATGCAGCTCAACAAGTTGAGCTCTGAATCAAATTAATAGATAGATTACATATAAAATAATTAGTAACAATTACTATCAGGATACACCTGAAATTCAATCAATCTGTGATTTTCTATGAAAGTAAGTGGCAATGGAAACAAAGATAACTTTGCAGACTTCCTAAATGTCATTCAGAGTTTAAACCTTTTCTCCTACAAACACAAACACTGTCTCTTTTTACTCTTAGGAAAATGACAGTAAAATGACTACTCAATTAAAGCTGAACAGAAAAAGAAAAGCACAAGCATATACATAATAATATACTAAATAATAATTAAAATGAAAGACAACTGTATAACCCTCATAACAGCAAAATCCCCAAATTAAAAATTATTTTTAAATAAGTAAGAGAAAAAATGCTTACATATTTCTTTCTGAACTACTGAAGGAACAGTATGTTTTTCATGTCCTTTTTTTTTAGATCTGCATTTTTTGCCTTCTAAAGATCTGGAATTACATTTATTGGCTGAATATGCTGCTTCTGCACCTATTAATAATTAAAATAAAATTCATTACTTTAAAAAAAAAAAAAAAAAATTTCAGAAAAGATCACAGTGAAAAACTATTTAGAGAAATAAAACCTGAATCTTCATTTCTCAAAATGTCCCGCAAC